GTGAGCAGAGCGATCATCGCCTTGAGCTGGATCTGTGAAGGCGTCCAGACCAGGATGCTGCTGGACGTCAATATACAGGTCGGCGCAAGAAATAGAGCTCACGACTGTCGATTTTGGGTTCATCGAGCCAATATCTTCTTCGGAGAGGCAGGAAACATGGGGATTCATTGAACCTATCTCTCCGCGATTCACATCGAACGAGGTTGTGTCTATGAAGACAAATCCAGGACATCTTGGCCGCGACTTCGTGGCGCCTCTTCCAACACCATTGAGGGCAATAATCTGTACAAATTTAATATTTGTGATAGACAGAAAAATCTAAATACCGCACTAATGGTTCAATAATCTGCTGCCTGTGCTCAGCTTCTGCCGGCAGATCTTTGAATGCTTGCACAGCAGGGGGCATCGCGGACATATCAGGCTTCGGCAGGAATTCCAGAAACTTGTCAACAGGCATTACACCAATTATATAAAGGATTGGGAACAGTTTGCAAATTCACGATATCGCAGCTCACCTCGGTGACAGTACTAATGTTCTATGCCTCATCCATTCTGCACGGGTCGGATGTCCTCCCGCAGGAGAGCAGTGTGTCGTCGTTCACTCAGTGTTCTCGACGAACGCCTCGCGCGCAGCCTCGAGGAAACGTACCTCGCACCGCTTACGTGCAGCGCTGACGACGTTGGCGAGCCCTCACCCTCGCCACATGCCATCGCACATCTCCGCTTAATTGCGACCACGCCGTCCTTGTGCAGGTTCTTGATCTGGCCCGCGAAGCAAGCAGATCCATCGGACAGCTTGTGCTTGTACACTGCCTGGTGGCGACGCTAGCTACTTTCCCAGAGACTTCTACTGCGGGCAGTCGCTTTCATATAGTCGCTGGCGTGGGCGCATACCCGGCAAACCCACTGCACGACATGGGCGCAATACAGTCAGTAGTGACCCGTGGCAAGATGTTGCTCTATCAGCGAGGCGCCATACCTGGTATTGCTCGGTCAGTGATGCGACGTACCCCAAGAAACACGACGTATGTCGACATACTGATAACGACAGACGACGGCAGCACTAGCAGCACTAGCAGCACTAGCTCAAGACGGCGTCGGACAGCAAGCTTGGGCAAACCTTGGTGAGTTCGCGCGCGAGCAATACAAACGAGGATTAGTACTGTACAGGATCTCATTAAGGATGGGATCAATGACAAACCTAAAGCTCTGCCCACATACAGTCAACTATGGAGGCCCATCACTGCCTGCCGCTGTCGTTCTGACAGTACGCGCACTGAAATTTGAGGGATGCCCTGACGGAACAGCATCGAGTTGCCAATCGTAAGGGGCCGAGACCTGGAGAACCTCTCTCGCAGCCAGACATGAGAACTCTGCCAAACCCTTTGTTGCGTCTCATGCGCCCACTCGTAGAGTTTACACACGCACAGCAACTCGGACGTCTGAACAAAAGTCGTGGGGCGACAACCAGGCGGTGGGACTCAGAGTAAAGCCCTTACATCGTGCGGATATCCGAGCTTCACTATGGCTTTCATCCGTACGCAACATACGCTAAAAAGACCTCTTGGCGAGGCCTGCCTCCTGCGAGAGGTGGCAACTCTACCAACTCCAGATAACCACGACGAATAGACAATCCGACGTGCTCCGCCTGCCAAGACGTTGGACGCGAGCGTACGGTCTAGCTGCGCGTCCGACTCGGTGTCATGGTATGCATACAGCCCTCCGGCAAGCTGTATGCGCGCGTCAAATGACGAAGAGAGAAATGCGAAGACCATCTCACCCACCTTCCGACTCACTTTCTGGAGGGCTGTCTAGCACAGAGGGATATGTCGAATTCCAAATGCTCATCGTTGCCAAATATGCACAACAGTCCAGCTCCTGCCAGAGAGGAGACGGCTGCGATACGGGGCTCACAGACATGCCGAGATCTACCCACACGTGAAGACCAGTAGTACGTCTTCCCCCCGTCGTCTCTGGCAGACGCTTTGACCCCCGACGCAACTCCAGCGTTGACCCCGCCCTCGACATCTCCCGCCAAGCGGCAGTGTCGTGGGGGCAATACGACGGCGGGAGGCGAAATTGACACGGGAGAGTACCGTGGCGGCGGGAGGTCATTGATCATCGGTGTAACAGTTTGCAGGAGGAAAAAAGGAACTCACGAGAGAAAAATCAAACTTGGAAAGTCGATGATGCGGAAAGCGGCATTCATTTTCAGTTTCTGCGCCCTAGAGAACCAGTATCCGGCTAGGCTTGTCGCCCTCACGGCTGAAAAGACAGACAACGAAAACAGCACACCCAACCGACGATTGCTTTACCTGCGCCGACGTGTCAACTCGAGGATGACATGTCTAAGCACACGCCTGGCAACACCGCGGTCTCAGGGACCATAGCTACGCAGCTACGCACTGCTTTACCTGCGCCGACGTATGGCCCAGGTGGTCCACACGCCTCAGCACACGCCTGGCAGTCGTGCTGTCATCGTAGGTTGCAGGAGGTCGGACACTTTCGGACACGGTTGGACAAGGTCGGACATGGCCCGACACTGCAGTGGGCACGTGCAGATCATGGCGGTCACACGATCAGACGCGATCGCGTGCTGCGCGTTCACATCATGTGACCTCGCACAGGTGTTCGACGTTACTGCGTATATTGAACTGTGTGGTGCGTAAGCATATCATCGGGTAGTATGACAGAGCGTCGAGAGTCCCAAGGTGAGAACTGGTCGAGTAAACTATTTAAGACGACGAAATAGAATCGAGTTCGGTACAAAGTCGTCGGGTGAGGCCGACGGATGAAGTATTGGGGAGCCCACAGACACGGCGGCAAGCATGGGCGATCGCGACGGATGCCCCGACCGGGCACGCATGAAGGCCCTCATTCAGCACATCCCACATGCCTATATTACAGCTCCATTATGCTGTGTGTGAGCTCGAACATGCACCCTCGCTTCTTCAAGCCTCCCATACCTATAGGCGACCCTCGAAATCGCTTCCACCTCTCAGGAGGAAGTAGCTTGTCCCACGAAATCCATGCGATGATTTTTAATGGTGTGAACGGCCGATGGTGGCTCCCTTTTGGGGTGTGCTCCCCGTGTCTCAGGCGTTGACGCTGCAAAGCAGGGCGAACGACAGCGCCTGCCGCATATGGGCGCGCACGTGGAGGCGCGACGCGTCAATAAAACGCGTCAACAAAGGCAACGCGTCAACAAAACGCGCCAACCGAAGGGACGCGTCAACAGCGCAAAACAAGCCCTTTGGGCGCCCGAGCTTGCTTTAAATTCACCTGCCTTCGCCTGCCTCCTCCCAATGCTCCCACTTTTTTCCCACCGCTGCGATTCTCTGCGCTGGTCTTAGAGTGTTCTTGGAGTGCTCTTGTCGCTCGGTACGCGCCTCTCCTCTCAGGAAAAGCGCTATCCAGTGGGTTCGAAGGAGACCCATATCGCCCGCTGGGTGGCGCTTTTCCTACCTCTCATGCCTACGGAGTCCTCGCGGACGGCAGGCAGCACGAGCTCGAAGGAGACCTCTATCGCTCGCGCTGCCTGTCGCCTGCTGTCTCGCAGCTGTTGGCCCTTGCCTCTCGCTTGATTAGTATGCGGGGCTTATACCTTGTTGTGCAGGCTCTTGTATGGGCGCTGCAACTTTCACGGTGAGCCTGCTGGCTCCTCGGCTTTTCCTCCCCACCGACACTGTTGTGAAGCCCGGTTTGGGCTATCGTGGGAAAGCGTCCATGGGAGAGCGATTGGAGGCGGTCTGGAGGGTGGAAGAGGGCAGGGCTGAAGACCCGGGCCGCGCCAAACCTGTAGGTGCTTTGCAGGGCCCCCACAGGTGAGCCGCCTTCGCTTTTCCATTTCAACGCAGCTTTGCCAACCTTGGTTGTAGCCCGAGCGACAGCTCGAAGGTGAAATCCCTTCCGCGGGATATATCCAACACGACCCCAGCCCTGCGCGACCACGCAGATGCAGAAGCCGCCCTCGATGCCTCTGCCGGAGGTGTGGGCCCGCGCCACACTGCTCGCCGTCGAAACTATGTTGAGAGAGGGCGGTGGCTCGCGGGGTCAGCCGTGCCAACAAGAAGAAAGAAAGTGCCACACACGTGCAGAGCACAACCTCCCTGGCTCATCGGAAAATGCCCGGAGGTTACATCGGCAGCCGTGTCAAATCAGAGCCCCCGCTCCGGCGAGAAATCATCGGGCGTGCTAAGGGGTAAGTGGCCATCCCAGCGCATTTTAGCACGCGATGCAGTGCTCGGGACGATGCCGTCGGAGTCACTACATCCCCTTTGCTGTGATCAACGCCAGACACGGATACCCTGAGGCACAGGGGTTGAAGCAGAGTGTCTACTCTGCCCGGGCAGACTGATCAACCCTGGCGCGACGTATTGTGCAGAGCATGTCTACGAATGATCGTGTGTGGTGCGACGCTCAAGCGCGCGTCGCTGCAGGACGGCGCAGCGATCAATGTCAACGGCATGAACGCATCTGTGCCTACCCGGCTGTGGTAAGGAAGCATTGGTCGCCGCCTCCGCATTCAAAGTTCTTGGGGCGTCTCTCCGCCAGCATGATGTCGATGTCTCTGACGATCGTGGGCGGTAGGCGCGATCCTGACGATCATGTTCTTGCGCACGGCGGGCATCATAGGCCGCACGCATGAGAATAGCGGCCAAAGACAAAGCAGGCAAACCGCCCCTTACCCAATGCCGCACCATTGATCTTGTCTGCGGGACTTTATTGATCCCTTTGTAGGCCTTCATCGCCTGTGACGATCTCTCCAGTACGTGCACCGTCTTGAATTCAAGCCGAATGCCAGGTATTGGCCCATGGATCAAAGCAATAATGAGGGCTCGCACGAGTGCAGGGTACTCAGTTAAAAAGATCCTCGCTGTAGCGACCATTGTAAGCAAGCCATACAAATGGCCGACAAAGCAGTTCAGATAGAGCAAACAGTTGTAGGCTATACGGATGTAATTTAGCATGAGTTGCATCTAGAGGCCATCTTACTGCTTCTATCTCCTCTTCTTCGCAGCCTTTGCCCCTCTGTACGCTGGTACAGGAACCGGGCGCCGCTTAGCAGGAATGAGTGACATCGCCTCCGCAGGAGGTGGAGGGGCTTCGAACGCGGTGTATTCAGGGCCTGTCTGAAAGAGAAATTGAAGCTCCAGCCAGCACAGGCCAAAGAGGGGCGGCAGGACACACCTGCAATTCCGACTCACTGAACTCGGCGTCATAATGGTTCCACATAGAGCGCAAGTCCTTGTACGGCTCCCAGTCATCTTGATGATGCCCTGCGTCCAGTCCCCACTGGTAGTATCCTGCTCTGCCTGCTGCTTGTGATATCTCAAACATTCGTCCTTCAAGAAGCTCCAGTGCCTCTTGATCAACATCTTTGGCTTCGTGTGGACCATGGGCCATTGCTACTTGGTATGCCCATGCTTGTGACAGAATGAAAGCAGTCTGATCAGCAGCAGATCCAATGCTGCGAAATTCCGGAACCTGGGTGAAGTGGTCGCGCTTTCGGGAAGCTATTACCAGCGTGATTGCATGTGCGAGAGGGAAACAACCAATCCACAGATGCTACTGTTTTCGGGCACCAGGGACCTTGAGATAGAACCAGTTGTTAATGCGAGCTTGTTCTACGATGTCAAGATCCCCCGTATGCGGTACCATGCCGGAACGCACAGCGGGATGCTGTCGAAATCTGGAGTCCACTTCCGACGTCTTAGTCGGCTTGCCCAGAGATTTGTTGCCGGGTGATTGAACGCTCTTTGCGCCATCGGAGCCAGCATCTGAACGGAGGTACTGCAGCACAGGGACACTAGTGGAATCAACTTCTTCAGGACTGTTGAGAAGCGCAGAAAGAACGTGGATGTGCGGAGTCAATATCCGGTCAATTTCCTCCGTGAATGGGTACGAATCAGGCTCTGCAAGAACGTCTTCTTCTGTAGGAATCTGTGATGCATGCCTCCACTTTCCAAGCTGCATACGTACCGGCATTGGTACTATAGTCAGTGTCATATCATCTCCGGTCTCTTATTGATCACTCACCCTGATCTTGCGCCGCCTTTCTCGGTCATCCCACAGGTCATCCACTAGCTCTGCCTCCGGAACATATCTATGGCGATCTGGTGATGGCTGTGCAAACACACAGTGTCGCCACCAAACCACCCTCCAAGTTCTCCCAGCTGTCGAGGAACCCTCCGGCTGAATTAAGCGCACGGGATACCAGTATTCACCATGGCGAGCAAGTGCACCTTTGCCCGCTCTGTTTGTGTCCGCAAGTTCATCAGTAACAGAGTTAGTATCGAGGCAGGTACACGGACTTTAGCCGTTGAGCAGGCGGCGGAGGCTGTGGCCGGTCCTTTGCTCATCGTGTTTGGGCTGTACGCCTGTGGGCACGTGTCAAAATTCCATCAGCATGTTACTTATGACCATGCTGTTAGACATACGCTGGTTTAGAAGGCTGTCTGAGATGCGGGAAGCAATCTTCCAAAGTGCACGAATCACACTCAAAGCACTGCCCTCCCTTCAAATCACTGGCACGCCCATCTCGTTGGCATGCAATATGTGACCATTGGTCGCAGATATCACACTGTACTGTCTTCTGGCCATCTGCTAGCAAATTACCATCTCCTACGGCTCCACATCGACAATGAAAGGGGTATACTGAGACTGGCCTCTCTGTCGAACTATGTGGCGTCAGTGATGAGCGCGTTCCTGGGGCAATATCTGGAACCACAGCGGCATGTACAGAGATGAGATTATGGTCAGCAACAGTTTTAGATACTACGCACTGTCCGGGGTGTCGTTGTTAATTGCCGCAAGTGAAGCTTGATATTCCATCGGCACTGGAGTGTGCACTGGCACCGCGTTGGGCGCGTCAGCATCTGCTATAAAAGGTGTTCTACGACGCTTGTGTGACTTGTGGGTGATATTGCTACCCTCATGAGTTACTGGTTTGAGAATGTGGGTCGCTCTTATTGTGCAGCCCAATAATGAAATTTATTGCTAACACACCGTTGCTATTGTTATCGGCCTCATAGTCAATGGCATGGGGTCCCCGGAGACAACAGCAGTCTTCATCCGCAATGAGATGTACACCAGGCTGCTGCAACGTTGGAGTTACAATTTGACCAGGAAACTCGCCTGTAACTTCAGCATGATGTACGGGGAAATCGCCATGACTCAGAGAATTATGCGAAGAGTGAATGGATCCTCTCCAATCTGGAATAGTTGGGGTTGGTGAGATAGCTGCAGGGGGGGACTGACCCTCCGCATCATCTCTATAGAGGAAGTTGTAACCCATGGCTGTACAAATACTCAGCTGCTCCAATTTACCCCAAATATACACCATCTTCTCACCAGTATGCCCGTCGCCCAGTTCCTTCAGGACTTGAACACCGTTATCCAGTCCATGCCAGGACGGAAACTTCGTCAGTGCACAGGCCCCAAGCTGGCTACCTGAAGGTTTCTTCGAAGATCGTGCAGAAGACAAACGAGAAAGGTAAGATGCACCTTCATGCTGAGCTTGAGAAGAGCGGTCAGTTGGAACAACTTGATGAAGAAGCTCGCCGAGTCCTTCCCATGACGGAAAAACACCCCTTGAAGGGAAGATGAAGCCGTCCCGGTCGGATGCATTCCCTGCCGGTGAGAGTGCGTCTTTACCATTGTTTGTCTCGGCGTTCTTCGAATTGAGATCGCTATCGCTCCTCAATGGCCTAGTTTCCATTTTCACGAGGCTATCAGGCGGAAAGCTCGTTAGACATACGCCGAAGAGGACAGAGAACCAGATGCACCCTTGCAAATTTGCAGGCTGACCGGAATTGCTGGCTGTAGGAGAATCGAGAGTAGAACTCTGGGCTTGAGGCCCACGTGTTTCATCATATGAACAAGTCTGGTGGGAAGGCAGCGTCGTCAGCATACCCCTGCTGAAAATTTTGCGAAAGCGTTACACTATCAAAGGAAACTGTAGCCTGCTGCGTGCGTGGCTCGGATGAGGGTTGATCAAACTCCTTTCCAGGCGTACGCGCACTGCCCCGTAGATCAGGGCCTGCGCCTTTTCTCCTATGAGTTTTTCTAAAGAACACGCGAGTCGACTCGTGTGGGGGGGAAAACAGCCCTCGGCGTAAACTAGACCAAGTCGAGACCCGACCGGATGAGAAGGTATCAATAACGTCGAATCCAATTAATGGCGTTGCTTTGTCTTTCTCGTCTTGTACATGTGGCTCTGTGTTAGTTGACGACGCAGGCTCCTCCGAAGGGATGAACGACGCCTCTCTATTCACAGCACCAATGGCTAATTCGCCAGAAGATATAAGCGACTTCTCTTCATCCACCTCCATTTTAGAGGCTGTACCGGCACATCTGAGGCTCTCCAGTTAGCTTGACTTCTGCAAACGGAGACGACTGTGTCCAGTGTCAGGCTGGACATACCTCTCTTCTTCGTGTAGAGCACGGTGACGGAATGTTGCTGAATTGGGGATGTCCATCCGACTGAACCAATAGCCAGGTAGGGGTGGAGTTTCCGAGTACAGAATAAAGGAGGGCATAAAGTGAGGGTGCTGGAACGAGAACGATCTGCCCTCAAATTTCGGCGATGCCCTCATCGCGACGTCATCGACAACGGCGCTGTTGACTTCCGTGAAGGTACTGGAGCTGTCGAGCGCGTTCTCCAATAGCTGGTATCTATGCCATCTGTAAGCACAAATTGGTAGACGATATAGGATGGAGAACATACTCAGCTATTCCAGTAGTCATCAGCGTCGACTCCAAGTTACAGCGTGAATTTCCAGGGTCATCAGGGGGAAGTACCGGAAGCTTTCGCGAGGCACATTTGAAGCCAGACTTTTTCTGCGGTCTTCTAAGATACGCTTAGTGATATCGTACTTCGTAGTTGGCAGCTTGCATGCCCACCTATCGAGAGAGGAAGCGTCGACTTTATGCCTCTTACTGGAGATCTCCGTTGGCAGAGAATGTGAGCGCTTTCTCGGAAGCTTGACCCCAGCTCTGTACAGAGGACTGGTAAGTACTAAGGCCTTTGAGCAGAAAAGAATACACGGGAACGCACGCCAGAATACGTCCTTCTAATAGTGAATAGTTCTGCGGGTTTCCCAGAGGTTCTGCGGAATGTAGACACTTTCGACCGCCATGCACAATCCCGTCGGTGGGTTGAGGATAATGGCCGGAACGGCAGTATCTACTCCTGGGCACCGATGTAATCAAACAACATGCTCGCCTAACGAGTTCACCGCCTACCTCGTAGTAATGGTACCATGTACATTTTTTTGCCATGGTGGATTGATTACGCCAGGAAACGTGTGTGCTCTTTGGAGACCACCAGCAACTCTATGGCCTCCCTTCCGAGCTGAAGACTCAGCTATTGGATCGCACATAGATCCTGCGGCGTGCCCCTCCATCCAAACGAGTCAAGCTTGAAGGGCGTAGCACTTTAGGAACCGGTGATAATGGATGCAGGGGAAAGAAACATACATTTCTACACAAAGACGCGAAGAGACAAAGCGCCACCACTGCATGAAGGAATCTCCATGTTGTGGCCTCGAGGAGGCGTGGTGCTAAACACGATTAGGAGGGGCGGATCAGGCAGGAACGCACACACCTGGCCGCAGGGGTACGAGGTGCAAGTCAGACACATGCAAGAAGGCTTAAATTAAGGCTTCGGTCGGTCTATGCTCTGCGAGTGAGTCTAAGCGTCCGCAAGCCTGTCTGTGAGTACGTTTCGATGGGCGGGTACACGATTTCGAGAAATGTCGCTCATACTGTATGCATATAGCAAGCCTTGTGCAGATTTTTATTACCGATAATACTTAAGGCCCTCACTATGAGGGCGGCTGGGCGCGAACTCCTCTGCTGTGGGAATACCCTAGCAAAGGGGAGGCAGGCGAGAACGACGCTGACCGAGCAATGATTAATGAATACAAATACTTTCTACGTACCCTGCAGTGCTATTAGTAGGACTTCGAATAATTTACCAGCAATCGGGTTTACTGAGACACGCGGCTGGTGTCACGCGCTTTACAGAGACCTGTGACGCCTCAGTGCCCCAGATTTGTACCCGTCTAAGGTGCTCAGATTTTCGCGCATTTCACTACTAGTGAATCGTACAGGCAACGCGTGAACGAAGGCAGTGAGCCTTACAGGTAGACGGACGAGAGGATGTCAGGAGACGATGCCGTGCGAGTACGGCACGACCTACGTACCGGCGGTGCATCGTCGCTATAGTGCTGTTTGAAGCACACATGGTTCACAACCACCCACTCGCGCAGTGAAGGACAATGGCTTGACGTCGGCCTCTCACTGAGCGCATTTCTCTCGGTGAACGTCGTTCAACAACAGGCAATCTTCCGGTCTCTGACCAGTACTCAGTCCGCGTTATCGTGCACGACAGTGAGGAAAATGCACATGTTCTCAGGAGTCGAGCGCCACTCGAACGACTGCAGAGTCGGTACAATATTAGCCGACCGTACACTTACGCGCGATCTCGACAAACCACGGCCTAACCGAGGGGTTAGCATTCGTGCACGAACACCAAACCCTGTTCGTCGCCGCTGATTCTGTCCTTGTTAGATATCTCATGAGTGTCGACGAAAAATTCTACTTTCTCGACACCCATGAGATTGCATTGAATTTTGCAGGATCGGCTCAGATCTCCGCGTTCGTCACGCCCCCTATGATGGCTGGAGGCCATTGATCATTAGCGTAACAGCTCGCAGCAGGAGGAAAGGTACTTGCGAGAGAAAAATCAAACGTGCAAGGTACGTCGCCTTCACGGCTGAAAAGACAGACAACGAAAACAGCCCACCCAACCGACGATTGCTTTACCTGCACCGACGTGTCAACTCGAGGATGACATGTCTAAGCACACGCCTGGCAACGCCGCGGTCTCAGGGACCATAGCTACGCAGCTACGCACTGCTTTACCTGTGCTGACGTATGGCCCAGGTGGTCCACACGCCTCAGCACACGCCTGGCAGTCGTGCTGTCGTCGTAGGTCGCAGGAGGTCGGACACTTTCGGACACAGTTGGACAAGGTCAGACACGGCCCGACACTGCAGTGGGCACGTGCAGATCATGGCGGTCACGCGATCATGTAGCTTGAAGCTTTGAAGCTTTGAAGACTTGAGCACGGCCCACCATGGGAGGCGGCTTCACGCGCTTACTGTAAGTCGTCGAGTCCCCTTGCCTCCCTGGTTTTGGTGCGAGCTAATTCGTATCGCCACTAATCATCGCAGAAGTGCACAACCGCCGCACCTAGTGCCAATCCTCCGTTCCGATGCCGCGTCCAGGGCGCAACACTCGCAAGCACATCGCTCTCTCAAGGTAACGAGTTTATCTCATTCTTGTGGCGTGTTCCTATCCCTCGCTAAGCTAGATACTAACTGCCCATTTCTTTTTTTCCCTGTAGACAGATAGAACCCCCACCTTCTAGTCACTCTGGATGCACGTGTGCTCGTCGTGATTCCTCACCTCCGTAAGTTGTTCAGATGGGCTTCCTTTCCTATGCCTGAGGAAAACACGTCGTTCACAGTTTGTGCTATGTACTGCACTATCGCTCAGGTCCATTTTTCAAACACTGCCTGCGCTCGGAAAGTTCTAGCTACAGATATGGTCCGCGTGAGGCAATCCTAGGTACGCCCATGGCACGAGGGCGCACTTAGAGGATTGTGGAAGGGCAGACGCTGGATGACTGGCGAGGGCGCTCTGAGGACATCCTGTGTCATACTTAGGAGGGGTCAACAAATATTCGTTCCCTATGTACGCGACCGCCTACTTCACCCTCTAACGAATCTCTCCTCGTTCCAGCCATACAAAGACGGGAGCTTTTCTTGTAGTTCAAAAGCATGTGAGCTAGCCACGAAGAAGACGAAAGGTTACTTACATCCGCAACTCGTCGGGGCGAAACTCGGCACCGTGCGGCTATAAACATGTGAAAAACCCGAGTACTCGTGAACGTCGAAAGAAAACTTACCCTGTGCACGATCAGAACCTTGCGCGACATGTGTTTGGGAAGGGTTAAACGATACTTTGAGCCACGATTGCCGCGAACACGAAATCCAAGCTGTTTCGTCTGTGTGAAAACGTCTAGACGTATTCTAAGACATGCTTGTCATCAGCGAAATCGTTCCACTTGACACGCTGCCACAGAGTGGGATCCCGGCTCAAAACATTTGAGATCATCTGCATGGTGTTCAGCATGTGGCCCATCACATTCTGCAATTTATACTCACTTCAAAACAGCCTCTGTTCACGATGATGCGCGGATCCATTCAAGAAAAAAAAGCAAGGGAAGGTGCGCCTAGCAGAAGACGGAGAAGAGGATAGGACACTGTGGGCCCGCCACGTGTGTCGACCTCGGAGAATGCGTCAGTTTCACCCCGCCCAGGTGAGTAAGTAGTTGATACAGTAACAAAGCCAGGTAACCGTCGGTGGGACGCTACTCAACAGACTGAGCCCGAGCCTTTCGCTCTGTTGCTCTCATCGGTACAATAATCCAGCCTGAGGCGCAATATCACAAGGGACGTATCCCTGCGTTCGTGAAGACAGCACGGGGGAGCGAGAACCTGCCGTTGATTTGTCAGATATTTCTGAGCAAACGCACTGCGGACGAAACACTTGCCATGTGTAAGACGTTGCACCGTCGTGGTTACTGTGGAGATTATGTGGGAGGGGTCAGACATTGTGTGTAGACAACAACTGGGGATCTCAGGATCTTCGATGGTGAGAGATTATGGCGCACCTCTCAAAATTCACTGTCCATTGCAACGGCGCGTCGTGCAGACATCTGCATCTCGCGCAGAGATGCTGTCCAGATTTGACCGTAAGAGAGGCACAATTACACATTAAAGGAGGAGAGGGTTCACCCGTTGAAGGAAGAGAACAGTTCTGCGTTCGCGTTTTGATTGCCTCCAGGATACTTCCATGAACATCTCCATCTATAAGTAACGTTAGGTGGTCATCGTATAATCCAGAATGTAAGTACCTCCATCTCCTGCATGTCGACGACGCGATTCTCTTACGGAAACAACCCCCCCAGATTATGCTATTCTGTTGACTACAACTTTGAAAGTCCCGAGCTGCAGAGATCCTGATCTCGCCTGACCTCTCGTTAGCCGAGTCGATTCAAGGTGATGATGTGCTGCAATAATAGATGTGACGGATGCGGTGGTAGCAAAATACTATACGACGAAATCATTAGAAACTGGAAACCCAGGGAACCCCAGGCGATGGCTCGTGAGCAACAACTCTGAGTGACATTTTCGCAATAGAGTAATTGTCCCATATGGCATAACAAGCTTGAATACAGAGTCCAAGGTCGAACGTTACTTTACCCAAGCTTTACCTGAGCCAACATGTCGACTGGAGGGTGACTTGTCTAAGCAAACGCCTGGCAACGCCGCTGCCTCTGGGACCACGCATTGCATTACCTGTGCCGACAAATGGCCCAGCTGGGCCACATGTCTCAGCACACACCTGGCAGTCGTGTCGACTGTCGTCCCACAAGACCGACACCAAGGTCGGATCACGTCGCGACGGCGTGGCTGACGTCAGCGCTTGCTTTTTTAACCGTTAAGTATGAAGTTGTATTAATTATGAGTGTGTGACTGCGCCACTCATGCTCGCGTCGGACAGACAAAGATACTGTTTTCTTCTCTCTAATATTGGGAGGATCATTTACTGGGTGTTTGGCCGTTTCCTCCTGTAACTGTCTATCGCTGAATGGCATCTTGGACTCTAGTCATTCCTACGGCAGAACTCTCCAAGACGAACGTCAGACTTCCGTCACTTTGCTCGAAGAATCAACATGGCGAATTCTTGCATACCAAACGCTTGAGGGTGAATCAAGTGCAGCAGGGGGCCAACAGTCGCATTCCGTTGACGTCGGACGATCAACCTTGCCCTATCGACTTACGGGTGGGTGACCATGCAGGTGCCTTTTCGCACCCCCGTTTTATTTATCACCGCTCGCAGGTGAATTCCAGGGGATTTTTTGCTGTGCCAACAGACGGACTGTACCAGAAGCTCTACCGTGTGACCACGCCTTTGCCAGAAAAAGTGTGTACCTTGCAGAGTCGTGAACCCTTTGTGAACCCTTAATTCTTGACACTTCATTGTATCGCTCCGTTTGTGAGAAGTTTCGAGAATGGCATGGGTTAACTGCTTTGGATAATTCATCCAAGGCTTCGAGTGGACAGCGAAGCGTTCGGCGCGGTGTCGATACGGTCCCCGTGGCTTATACCTCTCGTCCCACACGTTTGCATCACCCTGCTTTAGAGGAAGTACGACAAGTATGACAAGAATCTTGGTTTAGGAGGCCCTAACTCATCATCCGCTCACCAGGATTCGACCGCACAGCAGTGTCATTCAAATTACGTGTTACAGGTGAATTCGGCTGAATCGAGGAATGATACGCCCACTTCTACGGTCACCGACGATAGACAGCACTCTAAGGAATTGGTTACTGACCCTGAGGTAAGTCTACCCATTTGACTTGTTCTCGCCGTATTAGCCAACAGCCCGTTGTAGGGACTATTCCTCATTCGCAATAAGCGGAAGATTGTGAACACGGACTTTCACACGGCTTGGTTTTGAACGTCGGGTCAAGCAGCTATCATCCGACCACCTCGCCTCTATTCAACTACTAATCTATCCTCTGGAGATCTCTTCATACACACCGTCACTGTCGATGGATTGGAAGTCGTTCAATTATGGGTGCTGGTGAAGGATTTATCGGATAGTAGATATCGTTGGTCCCCCGTATACAGGCTGCAGGAGTTGCGACATCCCTTTCTCCATGACCGAATGTTGGGATTCTCTGACAAGACGAAGGAGCCGTCCTGGATGCAATTTGACACGAAGCGACGCCGGAAATGGTCTCCGGAACTACTTATGCCAGTGGATTGACTGTCCTTATCGGAGTAGTGTGGTTAGGCCCTGATTGTGAAGTTCGAGTATCATCACATCTAATTCTCATTGTAGTATCATTGTTAAGTCTTGCGGGATCAAGTCAGAGTTTAAAATCGGAATAATTAGTACTAGCGACAAGAGAGCCTTCTCTGCGACCCAACACCCCTGCAATGCCGCAAGTTCACAGCCGTGCTTAGTCAATCGCCAGTAAGTAGAACTCTGTAAAGAGGTCAAGGGACGGTAGATGTCGCAAAAAATGTGCTCACGGTATTCGACAGTGGAATTGGGCGGAACCCCTTCGGTTCCTTTCGTACCATAACCCAAAGCGGGAGGAACGATGATCAAACGCTGGCCATTAACTTTCATGCCGATAATGCCGTCCTCAACTCCTTCATGGCGTACGTCAACATCGGCGAAGCAATCCGACAAAGCAGGGTATTATTACCTGGTGGAACGGCGCCCTCGCCAACAGTAAAAATGTACTGAAGAGCAAATATTAAACACATCCGTCAAATGCTTCACGTAATACCCACAGGATCACCATCAGTGTTCTTGCTGAGAGGAATGGTTGATCCGCGAAGGGTCTCGATGTATCGCACGGTGACTGTGTCCCCAATAGCCACACTGGACTCACCCTTACCAGCATCGTACTCGCGAACTATGACGCCTCCGACGAGAGTGACTTGCGTCGTGGCAGATGCAGATTGCTGTATTTCCACGATATCGTCGCCACCGCTGTCACCGTCTTCGTCGTCATCGATGACGGTGATATGACTCGTCACAGTCGACTTCTTGTTGGGCAATGCGGATTGGCACGTAGCTGATGGAGTAAGACGTTGTAACACAGGGCTTGAAATGTTCCCGCTGGACTTCATAGGAATGGCCGGGCCTACCTGTCTGGGCAAGCCGCAGGACTGCTGCCAGGCGCTTTTCCTTGACCATTCTTTAAGCGCTGTGTTGGCAAGAATCCAATGAGAGCCGTTATCCATTGATAATTGCGTTACGGATTCCAGGCTTACCGTTTGCAGACACAGTGCGAGCACGTTTCTTGGCGCGTAGGTGTATTTTAGGGCCTTTCTCGGCATTGCGTTCTGAAGAGAAGGGGCTAAAAACAGTAGTGATAAGAAGAGAGACTCAGTATATACAAATTATCACACACGGGCGGTGACCAGGTGTCTTACTCGGAGGATTATCTGTTGCTAATCAACAGCTCAGCAGTAAATCATCATCGCGGCGTGACGTACCCAGCTTTTCTTGTGTAAGAGACTTAACGTCCTTTGAAGCAAGGTAGGACGCCAACCCTTGGGTTGCTCCTGAACGTTCAGGTGCCCGTGCCTTCCCCTTGTCGCGAGTAGACGCGGACTTTAAGTCTAAGAGGTATGCATTAAACTACTAAACACGGGTTCGCACTCTCTAGACAGACCTTCGTGAGCTGGAGACTGATCTCGAGCTCGTTTCCTAGCGAAGTAGCCCGCATCCTTTTCGGCAACGTCTTCCTGTGCAGATCTTAAAATTTGGATGAGTGGGCGAGATCTGCCTCGAAGAAAGAAACCACCTATGCCGCAGT